TACATGCAGTGGAGATTGCGGGGGGGGGCTTCCTTTTATTATTAGGGAGATAACAAAACTAACATACGGCACATGTTTGTACACAATACAAATTAAACCTTCCCCGCCTGCGTCACTTTCACCCTCGGGACCAGGTAACCAAAGGTATCCTTTTACGTAATCCCTTTTCACCCCATTCCACTCCAAAAAGACATGGATTCTTCTGCTGGCTTCTGACCTTTCCCTTTCAGAAAGACATACTCCAAATAAAATTTCCATACCTCTTCAAAATCATTATACAGTGGACCCTCGACTTACGGAATCAATCCATATTGGAACGGTGGCCGCAGGTCGAAAAGTCCGTCGGTCAAGGGTCCGTTTCCAGTAGGAATGCATGGGAAAGCATTTAATCCGTTCCAGGCAAAGAAAAAAAACCCGGGCTTCCAAAGCTGCCCCCGCCGCCCTCTCTCTCCCGCCCCCGCTGCCCTCTGCCTCCTGATCCACTCCTGTGTGGAGAGAAGGCAGTGGGCACCAGGGACAGGAGACGGGGACGGCGAAGGGGGTTGTGAAGCCCGGGAAGCCAAAAGCCGCTCCACTTTCCCCCTGCCTTTCGTAGGTCGAAGCTCTGGCCGCAAGTCGAACCTAAATGTTGCGGCTGCAGCTTTTCGTACCTCGAAATTTTCATAAGTAGGGACCTTCGTAAGTCGAGGGTCCACTGTACTTTATGATTCCTCTTCTTATTTTCATTTCACATGTTAGTTTATTATTAATCACTAAATTCCACAGTTCTTTATACCAGTCTTCGAGATTGATTTGCTTATCACTTTTCCAATTCTTTGCAAATACTAGTCTTGCTATTGTGACCATTATAATTAACTCTTTCTGTTCTTTTTAAAGATGGTCATTCTTAATTATACTTAAAAGGGCAATAATTGGTGATATTTGAATTATATATCCAATAATTTCTCTAATTTCTTTAAAAATCGGTGCCCGTTCTTTCTTGTTTCACACATCCACCACATATGCATATAGGTCTCTTTTTACATCTCCAGCATATGAGATGGTACATTTTTGTTTATTATATTCAATCTTACTGGAGTTAAATACCATCTCTATGCTGCCTTATAACAATTTTCTTTTACCCTTATAGACATATTCTTCATTATTCTTTGTAACCATATCTTATTCCAATCCTCTCCTTTAATCTCTTCCTCAATGTCCTCCTGCTACTGGTTTTTCATCATCACTGGTTCAAATCCAGAATGTACTAAAATCTTATAAATTACACAAACTGTACTCTTTCTTTTGTTTCCTTCTTCTTGAACTTGTCTTTGCTCAGGGATCTCCTCAAATTTTGTCAGTTTTCTAATTTCTCCTTCTTTTGTAATCCACTCTCTTGTCCAACTTTCCATTTGGAGTAGTGAGGATATTCCTTCTTCTTCCCCCAACATTTATTTTATAGTATTTTTATTTTTTATCTTTTTCATCCAGCTCCTTATTCTGTTTAACCCTTTCTCTAGTCATACCTCTTTAAATTTAATTTTAAGGGTTTGGGGGGAAACTCTGAACCCACACTACTTGTTGCAAAGGTGAAGTAGGTGGGCTCAAGATATCATCTACAATCATTCCAACACTCTTGAGGGGTCCCTTCCTGCGAGGGTCCCTGGAGCAATGCCCGGGGTCAAAAGCAGCCAGAGGGTCCACGGGTGCTTCCTTGAGGCGCCTCCTGTTGCGCCGTCTCCCCAGAGCTGCTACGGCCGGAGGTGAGACGATGGCATCTCTTGTTCGGCAGGTGGCTACCGGGCAGCCCCACGAGGGGTCCAGCTACTCCGCACGCAAAGACTGCCAGATGGCCCTGAAGCGCATCGACTACGCCCGCGTCAAGCTGGGGGAGCTCTCTCGGACCTGCGAGCAAATGCTGGAACCGTAGGCGGGGGACGTCCCCGCGTGACCTGCTGGGATGCCCGTGGTTGAAGGAGCCAGTTGGAGGCCACGGACGGACTTCTGTGCTCTCAGTTTCTTTTCTTTTTTCTTTTAATCTGACTTTGTCCACCCAATTGGGGGACTTCGCTGCCTAGATCAACTCAGAAATGTGAGATTATGACTGGCTTTCTTTTTTGTTTGTTTCTGTGGAGTTTGCCTCCGTCACCTTCCCAACCTATGTGAGACATCGGAAAACATGTGTCAGAAATGCCTCGTCTTAAATACAGAGTAGATAAACAAGAGACTGGTCGTATCTTTCGATATTTATATTTGTTTATATCTGGCTTCAGATCCACCTTCTGAAGGGGCCCAATGGCCATGCTTGCAATTCGGACAGTGAAGTCACAGGGATATGCCCCACTTTCAGGGGATGATGCCTTCCCACCTGGAATGCGGGCGGAGGAACCCCCTGCTTTCCTCTCCCGTGGGAGGCGACGTGAGCTTCCTTTTTCCATCTGCTTTCCCAGAGGGCAGCCTAGCAGCTTTCCTGCCTCATAACACCTGCTCTGAAACCCTCAGGCAGGCAGCACTTGAGTCTGGCTGTGGTTTTGCTCCTGCCTTCCCCAACCTGGGGAAGGGAAGCGAAAGCAAAGTGGCCCTACCGCCGCAGTCCCTCACCCACCCCTGCAGAGGAAAGCTGCACCAGGCTCCGAGCCCAGGGAGCCCCCTCTGTCGAGAGGCGTGGATTCTGCCCTGAGCTCACCCGGCATAGGTGAGGGCCAGGCCGTGGCCGTCCCATTGAGGAATCCCGGCCAACCTCCATCCCCACCCCCACTCCGCCTGGCAGCCAAAGCGGGCAAAGCTTGTGGCCAACTTGGGGCGATGGGCTTGGTTTGACCTCCATTCCGCCTTTTTCGGCTGGAAGCATCCGCTCTGCACTCAGGGGCTGCAACTGCCAGATTGCATCTTTTCTCCCCTTCCCCCCCCCCGAGGAGCAGGGAAAGGAAAGGACCCCTCCAGGGCCAACAGCCAGGTGATCGCCGTGGCATCGCGACGAGGGCTTGCCCATCCAGCCCTTTAGGCATAAACCATAACCCTAGGCAGGAGCGGGCAGCTGGGGGTGGCCAGGGAAAGGGGCCCTTCTTGAAAGCCGGCCGTGATGGACTACAAGCCACATCATCACTGGCCACCCTGGAACAGGCTGTTGAAAAGTGGAGTCCAACCGTGTCTGAGGGACCACAGGCTCCCTTGGTGGATCTTGGCAGTTCAGACACAGAGGGGATCTGGTGGGAAGAGGAGGGCCCTGAACCCTCAGACGCCTCAAGCCTGCAATGGCAGACGTCTCTTCCCCCCCCACCACCTGTCACCTGAGACTCAGCCAGATGCTGGGAGCCCAGGGCCAACAGCGCCTTTGTCTGCTCCAGGCCAGGTGAGCTTCTGGGCCCCTCCGTCCCTCTCTTCTTCGCCCAAGCCATAGTTGGAGGGAGGGGAGCCAGGGCCAAACCTCTTCCCAGGGACCCCTCCTCTCCTTCCGGCTGCCCTCATGACTGGAAGTTGATGCTACAGCAGCCAACTATCTCCAGATGAAGTGCCCATGTGCCCTCGCTGTGGGCCAAGGGTTTCTGAGAATCTCAAGGAAAGGATCAGTCAGTTCCAGGTTGGCTTATGAGGAGAACCTTTATGGAATCAAATTTAACAGCTGCCCAAGTGGTGCTCAGTCATCTGGAAGAGATGACAGCCTGGCCTGCAGGTCACCACAAGACGTCCAAACCACCATTGAGTTGATCAAGCAGATTTTCTACATTTAGGCCACTTCCCTCTGTAGGCTGCAGCTGGGCGGCGATAATATATATCGTTTGCTCCTTTTCACTCTGACATAGGAAATGCTCCCTCCCACCACGCTGCGGGGGCTTTTCTGCCACAATTATGCCAAAGCAAACATGATGCAAGGTTTCCAGGGAATGTATTTGGCAAGCCAGTCAAGATGTTTCAGATATAGCATGATCAACACATGTCAGGAAAGGTCTGAGCCAAAACAGAATGCAGGGAACAATAAATAGAAGATACACACAAAAGGTCACAGAAGCCCATTTAAGGTGGTATTCCTTTCAACTTTTCTTTCCCGGGAAGTTCCTCTGAAATGCCTTTCTAAGGGACAAGTCCTTTGGGATTCCTTCAGGAAGGAGTGTGGATTTCGTTTTATTGTTTTTTTATGGTGCCTTTGCTAAAGACAGGGAAGTTACGTGCCTTTACATCTCTCAGACAAGGGGTGTCTTCCCATGGTTCATCGAGAGACATGATGGGCTGCCTTTTGGCCACCTTGATGTAATTGCTAAATTGTAATGTATATACAGTAGTTGTATTTCAGAGTTGCAGCCAGGGGATCTTCTCAGCATCACCAAGGTCTTTATAGGAGAAAGCGCACGGAAGCATGTCAGTGGGGTCTGAGAACCAGCTCTGTTGCCTTCAGCCGGCCTTCCATGCCAGGAACCCATCAGGGCTGCTTGACTGTCCTTCGACCCGCGTCTTCCAGGAGAATGCTGAAGCAGCGTTTGTGCAGCCCAAGAAGAGGGAGGCCACAGATCAAACGGGAAGGCACTGGGCCCCACAGTGCCAGGGCAAAGGGAAACGGGAGCTGGAAAGGGGGAACGTAAGAGGCATGGAGTCCCCCCCGGCTCCCGCCCATGGCACCCTCTGTGGCCTCCAGGTCCAGCCAAAGCTGGAGTCCCAAGGATGACGCTGTCCCTAATATCCACTTGTTCCACGGCTGGTGCCCAGGCCAGGCAGGAGAGGGGGGGCACAGAGACACTCCTAACCACACACTGAGTGGAAAGGCTCCTAGCCCTGCAGTAAATATTTGCTCGTTGGTTTTGCGTCGTAGGATTGTTATTTTGGAAAAAGAAATGTGGCTTCGCAGCATTATTCCGCCCTAAGAAACTAAAGGGCATCAGAGACTGAAGGGACCGTTTGGCCCCCACCTACCCCAGATCGCACCCAAATCCGGAAAGCCTTCCGCCAGCCACTCCAAATTGTACCGGCCCCTGTAAGTTGTATTCAGCATGCAAATATTTAGATCTGGTTCTTCTTTTCCTCTTCCCTCCCGCGAGCCTTTCTCATTTCACCCCCTCCCCACGTGCCACCAACAATGTCCTGATCAACCCCCTTGGGGCTTTCGCAGGTTTGCTAATCTCCCACCTCCGCAGTTCCCTTCAGCTGGGCCAGAGGAGGAACACCCACCAGCGAGAGAGAGAGAGAGAGAGAGAGAGAGAGACTGGTGGATGCCAAATAAAACTCAGCCAGATGGGCGTTGCTTGGCATTGGCTTCTGTGCTCTGCAGCAGCCCTTCAGCCAGAGAAAAAAAACCCGTGGGCTTTCCGGTACCACCAGAGCCCTGGTTCCCTTCACTGCCACAGAGTCCCACAGTGGCTGTGGTCACACTTTTCCAGCCCTCGGGAGCCTGGGGGCCGTCTTGGTTCTGCTGACGTTCTGCATTCGGCCGCTGCCACGGTCTGGAAAGTCCCACAGCCTCACAGGAGGAAGTAGACGTGGAAGCATTTTTCAGACATGAGTCACCCAGTCATGTTCTCCTTGGAGAACTGAAAGCAGCCTTTGGCTTCTGAATTCTGGTTGCTCAGAGTGTCTGTTCTAGCAAAAACAAAACATACACATCTACATGTAGATTTAGCCGGGTTCAAAGGCACAAGTATTAAGTGGTACCTACGTCTGAGTAAACACACAGAAACTGGCGCTGTTAGACAGCCCTCCAGAAAGCCCCCAAAGGCAGCATCTTTTTACAAAAACAAACATTTTACTGTTCTGTACAAAAACCAGAGACAAAGAAAGGGACACAGGCTGGAAAGTGAAACCCCTGGAAAAGG